CTAGCACTGACGTTAATAATTGGTCAGAAATGACACTGGTTAGAGTCAGCGCTGGGCTCGTGTTTTTTCGATCCAATCTGGGAGTTTGAACCTGGATTTATGCTACCGCGACTAAAGTAGATGTTTGAGGCTCTGAGCATATTAGTGGGTGTCAAGACAAACTCAAAGAAAACGAGGCTAGTACTGCTACTGCTATTTCTAATACCACTACTATGACTACTAACACTAATTAAGAGTTGCGAGTTATTAATATAGGCACTATTTCTGACGTTAGTTTTTGTCAGAGTTGACGCTGATTAAAGTCAACGCTGGGACTCATATCCCCTCGACCTAAACGAGGAGGGTGAATCTGGGTTTAAGCTATTCCGAATAATTATCTGTTTGATGCTCGAAGCATATCATGGCTTGCCTTGGTCTTCATCCTCTCACCTCTGTCCACCAAAATCTGTGGTACATTTTACTAAGTTTGGACTAAGACACTGCTGCTAGAGGTAATATGCCACTGCTAAGAATGATAATTCTAGTAATCATACTTCCTAAGACCAGCAGATATTATATTCTAGTATTATATTACGGCAAGACTGCGAACTCGTAGCTCAATGGTTAGGACATTTGCCTCTGACCGGAGAGACTCGATTTCGAAACTCGAGTGTGACAGCAATTTCAGCGGCAACACTGGAGTTGGGTATCAATATCTTACGACGGCAAATGAGCCAGAGCTGGCCATTCTAGTGTCCCATGTCTTTGTCGGTAATGTCCTTCTGCCTATATTCCTATAATTGTATCAATAGCTGGCACGCATCCTATTTTTGCAACAAGCATAACAGATGGGAATATGAGCTCAGGCACCGTCCTAAACTTCAGCTGGGCTGGCTTGTAAGACACCCGGAAGAGCGTTCACGTCCAGCAGGCAAGTAATACTCGATTATTATGTAGCGTTAGGCTGTCAAAATATGACCAGTTGACTCTTGTTCCAATGACTGCACAATTCAAACGCAAGAGAATAGAGAGAAGGTGGTATGGAAAGAGTGTCAGTTGCCCCAGGGGGAATTTAACATAGCAGACTGTGAACCAACAAGCCTGAAAGCCAAGACCGTCATTTTATCTCTGCCTCCCCCTCTCCCAGGGGATTTCAGGGCTGCTTTTGTCAATAAATTGGCATTGCCTTCCACTCTCTGCTCGCGTAAGTATTCATGCGTAGGCATTATTGCCGAGAAAAAAAGAAACCAAGCGGGGTGGGAAGTATGGGCTTCTTATGCGATAAGCCAACGTGCAAAGACACAGTAGACCCGGGTTTTGTAGACAGGAACTTTTCGCCGACGGGCCTGGATGGGACAAATCAACGGACGAATAACCACCCTATATGTACCGAAGGAAATCGCCAAGCATTCTTAGGCATAAAGACTGTCCGTGGTAAGACGCTGAGAGCATTGACGCACTGTGCTGCAGCTACGGACACGCTGAAAGTCTCCGTCGAGCCTGGATAGGATACATCAACGGGAGTATAACCGCCCTATATGTACCGAAGGAAATCGCCAAAAACGCATAGGCATAAAGGTGTTGAAAGCACTGAGACCCACTGTACCGCAGCTACGGACACACTGAGAGTCTCGAGGGTAGAACTAAATTGAATTATCGTCTCGCATTACAAAAACACAGTAGAAGGCCTCTAAGTCACAAGATATGTCGGGATTTTTGAAGTTTAAATTTCGTGTGAAGAAACAATATAGGCAACATTGACGAATTTTTGTTTTAACTTATTAATAATTATGCCAATATACGTATACTTAGGGGTGGGATTTAAAAACTGCGCTTTAAGAGACCGACTTATTCAAGTTTAATTCGAAATTTTCACCTGGTGTAAACTTTAGTGCAGTTCAGTAAATATAGTATATTGTAAGACGCTATGTGTCAGGAAGTGACTGAGGCACTCTAACATTTTGCCATGCGAAGTATGGAGTGAATAATCAGGAAGAAGAAGAAGACGCAATCGATGACACAAGACTTTTATTCGTTCGACGTTTCGAAATCCTTCGCGGATCCTTCATCAGAGACATTAGCAGAACGGAACCTAACTTTACAGACGTTTTCAAACTCTTCTTAAATATTTTCGTGGTCATAAACACAACCAAATACATTTTACTCTAATCTTTCTTATGCATACTCAAACGTTACAATCTAAAAAAACTGTTGTGCTATCACTAAGATCATTGGCTCCCCAAAAACGGAAACTTACTTTGCAGGCCAATGTGACAGTATTCATGAAGATGAAGGTGAAGATCAGGACTTCAAACTTTCGCGAAACGACAACGGACCAGATCTTATACTGCAGGTGTCCTTTGGGAATATAACGCCGCTTTGGTCGAGCTTTCAGTGCGTACTCGATGCATTTGCGCTGTTAAAACGAAAAGAAATACCACTGAATTGCAAATAAGTAGCAACAGTTAATCGTATTGCGAAAATACTGCGATGACGCGCTCTTCGAACCTGATTCTTGTTGAGCTCACAGTTTTTGTACTCCCTCTCCCCCTCACGCTGGAAGGTGACAATGACAAAACCGACGAAGATGTTAACCATGAAGAAGGCCAGCACGATCAGGTAAGCGATGAAGTACAGCGCAATTATCTTTCGATGATCCTGCAGCGGTCCGTGATCCTCCAGGTTAGAGTCAATTCCAGCGTAGAGAATGCTAAAAATCAAGAGCATTTGCGTTTAGAAACAGGTTATTTTCCCTCATGTAACTGCGTCCTACTTAGGCTTATTTACAGTTCACTCCAGTTCCGCAGACAAGGTGGGAATCAAAGCCAAATAACATTAATTACATATTTTCCAGCAAATTTAGAGTTTCTCGGTAGGAGGTTTTTGATCACGTTCCAATAAAGTTGACATAAGCTCAAGAGGTGTAATATTCGATTTTGTGTAAGCATGAAATTCACAGGAACGATAGGGATATGTTAGTCAGAGAACGAGGGTAGCTCAAAACTCTATCATTATGGATTGATGAGCAGCTGATTGTTCTTCTTCTTCTTCTACGTAGCGAATGTTTGGATAATATGTTGTTTACCTTCCGGTCACAACTGGGTCCGAGATCCCCTATACTAAGCTCCTCCCTACTGGAGCGGTCATTAATTGTCGATTCGTCTAAAGGTCATCTAGCTTTGGCTGAGAATGAAGAATTCATAAGACGAAACACCACTTATCAGCTGCACTCTTGTTATCGTGTGATTTCACACGCGGAGACGAAAACAAAAACTACAGCCGGCTGGGAAGTTTCTTTCAGTTTCTGCCATCAACACATCTAGTGTTCTATGTAATGGGTTTTTTGTTTGCTGTTTTTGACGTTTAATAAGGAGGCTATTGATGAGTATATGTGCTTTGTCGATCTAGTCGAGGAACAATTAAGTCGCGCTTTGCCCAGGAGCTTACAGCGTGAACCCTCCACACCATCATATAGTGACTATAATGGTATGATGAAATGGATCCGACAAAGTAAAGAGAGACCGGGATGACCATTTCTGGCTTGTTAGCCGCCATCAGCCAGTCATTCCAATGTCAAGGGTTGGAACCCTGAGATTTGAACCCGGGACCTTTGGTCATTGAATTCAATATTCTACCATGGCATCACAGGCTCCTTGCTTTGGCGGTTGAGATCGGAAATATGATGAATATATGCGCTTCGCCGATATAGTAGAGGAACAATTAAGGAGGTTATTAATCCGTCTATTTCATGACGATTTTTTTAAATCTTTGGGCCGACTAGGTTGAAACTATTTCAGCAATCTTATTCGCCCGACTGATGTTTGTCAACGTCCGTGAAGTAGAAGATGCCATCGTTGGACAAAGAACGTTATTTGCCTAACAATTCCGATTCTGGTCTAAACTCACCATGAGAGATGGCGCAAAAAAAGTGATAAAGGCACAGGTTGCGCAGTATTTCTAGTCCGTAGCGGCCACGCGAACAAAGCCGTACTAAAATCAACAGCTCTCGTGATCGTCGCCGGCGGCTGTGATTGGTGCGATGGTGGCTTGGCAATCTGCAGCGAGTCATTAATCGCCGCGAGTTTATCATCCGTACTGGCGCGAAAATTACGCAATAATCAGGCGCGTTGTCATCCAAAACTTATTACTAGCCAGCGCCCTCCTCACGCACCTAATCACCCTACTCAGTACGGAATATGGGAACGGCAGCTCATTGCGCTTGCTGGTGAACTGCGGGCCTAAGAACCAGGACTCCAGCAGCTCACTGCTCACATAATTGTCACCTGTTGCGAGGATTCCGGCGTCGTTATAGTTGAAAAGATGACCGGGTGCTCGGCCATTCGCGTCCGGAATGATCTCCCGGACGAGGCAGTGACGTCCGAGAAACCAGACGATTACTCCGGACGCGAATGTCCGAAACCGGAAACTTCAGGAAACAAACTCCTTGTTCCAGCGGTCGCACTGTCTACGTCCGCCAGTGTCTCGGTTGATCTAAGTACGCTGCGATAAGTGCAAATCAACCGTTTTTTGTAATATGGTCTTAGGTGTCTGTCTTAATGTGAAGATAACTCCGATTATGGAGATTAAGAGTACTGTTGCCCCATTTTTCAAGCCAAATATACACGAGCACTTGAGTTAGGCATTTTATTAACGATCAATCAGTCAGGTCGAGAGATTCTAGGTTAGAACCCGACGCTGGTTGGCTACTGTCCAGTGCTGGAAAATGTGCGCTCTGAGGCGAAAACGGAACCGAATTGCCCACATACTCAGAAAGTGATCCGTTAGAAAAATCAGAGTGACATCAGATTCGCCTGATCTGAACGACATCTAATCTGCTTTGAACGAAAAGGACTACGAGAATCTGTAAACGGGAAAGAAAGAGTAATAGACAAGGCTTACCCAGGCCAACCCTCGAACGTAAGGACCACAAACAAGGTCAACATCGCGTTGGGGACGTTGTCAAAGTTGAGCGGCGAATGCTCCCACACGCGTGGAATCACGGCGGCAGGAACGCCATACTCGTATTCAATGAAACTGCCCCTGTTGAAAAGAGAAGGAAAAAGCAGACGTGACTGGAGTACATGGACATCTAGCTGGCCATCAAGGTCAAACAATTGGACAGTAGTTACCATTGTTTTTATTCTTATCAAAATGTCTTTTTTTAACTGCCGACTACCAGGCGTATTGACGGGTTGACTGTCGCGAGCGACGGCGTCAACCGTAAGCCCCACCCAGAAGGTGCAGCCCAAGTGACATGCATGAATCGGTTTATAGGCAGGCGGAATTTTACAGCATCTGCTGTACACTATCTAACCCCCCGCCCTCCGCGCATTGTTCCGATGGGCTCGGACGTGACGGATGACAGAGGAGCGTTCCGGATCCCGTTCCCTTTCCGATATATGTGAACGACTGTCTTGATTGCCTCACCTGTAAGAAAGTAATGTTTGCAGAAGATCTAACTATTTGGAATTCAATCGAAAGCACGGAGGATGGGCAGAGCTTACAAAATAACTTGGATCACTTGCAAAAGTGGTGTGATAAGTGGCTACTGCAACTCAATTCAAACAAATGCCAAGTCATCCGCCTACAGTTTAGTTACAGAAAGGTTATAGGATTTGAATATGAGTACTTCATCGGAAGTTACCAACTCGAGCGAGTAAACGAACTAACGGATCTAGGCATATTTATGACGCCAAACCTCAAACCGTGAACTAATTGCGCCAAAGCCGCAAAGAAGGTTATGGGCATCCTAGGTGCGATCAAAAAATCCTTCCTCTGTTTTGATGTAGAGCGGTTCGGGCGAGTATCTGGAACATTTGTCCAGCCGATGTTCGAATATTGCGTTCAGGCACAGTGTCCCTGTATGAAGCAAGGTTACGCAGCGCTCGAGAAAGTTCAACGAAGGGCGACCAAGTTAGTCGGCGGCTTGGATAAGGGTTGACTAGAAAGGCTGAAACATTTTCAAATTTCTTATAGGCAATACAAAGGAGATATGATCATGGACTTCAAACTCGCCAGAGGAGTAGACTGTGCTCTTCAGATGATGGATTTTTTTGAATTGGCAAAAGCGACATAGCTTCGAGGTCATCCATACAAACTAAAGAAACACCAAAGCCAACTACAAATGCGGGCCAACTTCTTTTCCCACTGGGTCATTGAAGACCGATACAAACTAGCTTCTTCAGTTGTTCTTGCTGAAAGCGTTGGCAGATTTAAAAGAAGACTTACTAAAACTTTACTTGATGGTCGTACATTCGGTAGACGCCAACGGTTGATATAATGTAAATATATGGCTCTGAAGCATGCGCACGATTTGCCAAAATCCATATAGAAATAGGGTTTTTTAAGGCTCCGTCTATTTCCCTTATATATACTGAATTATACTGAAGTAAAACCAATCCAAGCACACAGCATAAGACCTGGTCACGTACATTTATCAGCTCTCAGTTGGAGTGAGTCAGATTTTTTGATCACAAATTTCGTAAACTCCCAAGCTCTACGCTCTCACACAGACTTGGTATCCTATGCTCGAGCAAACTGTTAATTTTAGATGCCATCTAACATTCCTCCCTTATCTTGAGCCTTAAAAAGTTGTTGCATCTTTTCTATATGCGGTGATTTGAAGAAGATCTGTAGATAAGTAAGCTCAACGTTTCTAGACTGAAGGCATTGATCCTAGACAACACGTTTTGTCCCCTTCCTGGAGACGCGCCTAAGGGTTCAATCATCCACATCGACCCGCAAAGGCTTTGGGTTCTAATTTGAGCATTTGTGAGGTCTGACTTCCCTTCATATGCCCTGCCCTCTTAAATAGAAAATGCCTGTGGCTTCACAGTCACTGGATTCGATGGTGTCCGTTCTCCGTCCCTCAAAACCACTTCGATTTAGCTGGAACCCGTCATGCCGTTCCGAGGATCTAAGTGGTCTGTAATTGTAACATTCATCGGATTCACCGAATGTCAAGCCTAAAGTGTATCAGTTTAATTGTCTGCTCATCAGTCCTCCTGAAGCCCACAGAAGGAGTTGTCTAGGCGGCCATCGGGTTACTTTTTTTAGTAACCCATCCCCCGCCCCGACGAAATTTGCATATGCAAATCAGGACTCAGAATTCCGACGCTGTTGTCTAGTCAACTGTCTGAGCGAATGCATGCACGCACCTCGATAACTCCCCCCCCC